TTTGTGGTGGGGGGGGGGGGGGATCTTATGCATATTTTGGGTTTTTTCTAAGTATAGAGAATTGATAATTGAAATAAAATTTAGTCAATAATTTTGAAAAAATATTTATATTTGCATTTGAGTAATTAAGTAATAGCCAAAGCATTCTCGACTATAAAAATGTCTAGTGACATCAAATTTAGTCACATGAAGTAATTGTAATTAATCATGGAAATATAATAGTTCAACCTTTCATGATAATTACTATATTTAAGTGATTAATTAAGATGAAATAGGAATATTTTGTTAAAGAAATTATCTAGTTGCCCATATAACTAGAAAACTTTTTTATAGATGAAAATGTTAGTTCTATCATAAGGTAATATAAATCACTTGTGTTATAATTTAAGCTTACGGAAAATATTATAATGACACGAAGATTTGTTTGTTCAGATTAATTTACAGGAGGAGAAAGTATGAATTTCATTTATTAATCAATTTAATATTAAAAAAAAGTGAAATAAAAAAATAATTAGAAAAATTAAAAAATTAATAACTAAAAAATAAAATAGTAATTGCTATTCATTTGCTATGGGTTGGATTACTTTTTATTTTTTTTTAAATATTTTGTATGAATATTTTTTTAGCAATATTATTAAATCAAATGATTTTGAAACTTGTCATATTGATTCCTTACTTAGCTGGAGTTTCAAATTAAATTGTTTAGGAATTGACTTCATATAAATTATTCAATTTAATGAGTTCAAAAATAACTAAGATAATCATTAAAAAAATAACATAATTTTTAAAAAAATTATAAGACTAATTTTTTTTAATATTAAGATGATACTAATTTGATTTGACCTCGGTCATTCCATGACCTGAGCTATAAACTTTAATGAGCTTAATAATTTTATTATTTTTTTGTATTGTTTTTATTTAATTTCATGATAAAATCAAATGCTTGTAAAATCAAGTATCAACCTTAAAAAAAATATTTATTTGAAATCTTGATAACCTTGTGTACAGTATGATGAGTAATTGATATGTATTTGTCGTGGGTTAGATTATTTTTTATTTTTAAAAAAAATATTTTGTATGAATATTTTTTTAGTTGTATTATTAAATCAAATGATCTTGAAATTTGTAATTACTCACCATGAATTTCATTTATCAACCAATCTAAAATTGAAGAAGAGTAAAAAAAAAAAATAGCAACATTAAAGGATTAAAAACTAAAAAATACAATAGTAATTGACATTCATTTGCTGTGGGTTAAATTATTTTTTATTTTTTAAAAAATATTTTGTATAAGTATTTTTTTAGCAGTAGCATTAAATTAAATGATTGATTTTGAATTAAATTGTTTAGGAATTGACTCTAAGTAAATTATTCAATTTAATGAGCCTAAAGGTAACTTAAATTATCATTAAAAAAATGATGTAGTTTTAAAAAAAACTGCAAGACTAATTTTTATTTTTTTTAATATTGAGATGATGCTAATTTGATCTGACCTCGATCATTTCATAACTTGAGTTATAAACTTTTATGAATTTAATAACTTTATTGTTTTTTTATATTATTTTTATTTAATTTTATAATAAAATTATATGCTTGTAAAATTGAGCATCAACCTTAAAAAATATTTATTTGAAATCTTCACAACCTTATGTAAAATATGGTGAGTAATTGATATTCATTTGTTGTGGGTTAGATTATTTTTTGTTTTTCAAAAAATATTTTGTATGAATATTCTTTTAATAGTATCATTAAATCAAATGATCTTGAAACTTGTAATTACTCACCATGAATTTCATTTATCAACCAATCTAAAATTGAAGAAGAGTAAAAAAAAAAAATAGCAACATTAAAGGATTAAAAACTAAAAAATACAATAGTAATTGACATTCATTTGCTGTGGGTTAAATTATTTTTTATTTTTTAAAAAATATTTTGTATAAGTATTTTTTTAGCAGTAGCATTAAATTAAATGATTGATTTTGAATTAAATTGTTTAGGAATTGACTCTAAGTAAATTATTCAATTTAATGAGCCTAAAGGTAACTTAAATTATCATTAAAAAAATGATGTAGTTTTAAAAAAAACTAACCATATAAAAGATAAATTAAAATAAATTATTAACTAAATCCTCGTAAATACATCATTTTAAAACTCTATTAAAAAAATAATAGAAGGAAAAAAAAGTTAAAATAAATAAAAAACACTATAAATTAGAGATTAGAAATTCTCCTAGCTAAAATAAGAGATTCTTGGGTGTTTCTTGGAAAATAATTTTCAGAAAAATCACTTTCTAAATTTTTATATATTTAGTTGTCAATAAAAAAATTGATTAATGGAAAACACTTTCCGGTTAAAAAAATATTTGGCTTGGTTTCTATTAAAGTGTTTTCCTTTTATTTTAGACGTAAAATACTTTTTGAAAGTTGTGAAAAATCTATAAATGTCATATTATTTGCTTATTATATCAAATTTGGTTCTCAAACTTTTAATTGCTATATATGTTTTATTTTGAATATTTTTTTTTAATTTCATCACTTAGAATTTAATTTTTATATTAACTTTAGTTTTTATTTTTATAATTATTTTTTTTTTCTTATTATTTTTTAATTAAAAATTTTTATCGATCAAATTTAATCCTTATTCTTTTGACTTATTTTATTTGAAATAATTTATAAAATTTTAATTTTAATTATTTTAATTTCTTCATCTTTTATTTTTTTATTTTTTAGATTTGATTTTTTTATTATTTATTTTATTTAAAATAATTTATGAAATTATATTTTTTTAATTTCATTCTCATTTAACATTTTAATTTATAAGATTTATTTCTTATTATTTTAATAAACTTAAAAAAATAAAAAATTAATAAGTTATTTTAAGCTTATTTTTAAAAATATAAATAAATAACAAAAAGTATTTTTCAACTTATTTTTTATTATAATATTAAATATTAAAAATAATTTATTTTTTTAGAAGTTATTTAAAAAATAATTTTTAGTAAAGAAATGGGACCCAATTATTTTTTGAACAACTCCTAATTTATGAACCTGATCCTGAATGAAGTCACCACTTTTGACTTTTGAAGGCAAATTAATTACGCGGCTCTGATTTTCTAGCAGGGGAAGTCTTCTACAAAGTACCAGCGACCTTCCCAAGGAAGGTGTGTGGTTAAAAGTCGGTAAGTGATAACGTCATCTTCTTTCAACGCAAAACATGTTTCTAAAAAGTATTTTTTATAAAAATTAATTTTTTTAATATGTTAATATACTAATCTAAAAAATATTTTAAAAAAAATTAAAAAATATAATTTTAATATATTTTGATATAATTTTTTTAAAAATTACAACCATACTCTTAAATAAAAACTTTAATTTATAATAATTACAAGTTTAAATTTTTTAAGTTTTTATAGTTTTTAATTTTAAAATATAAAAAATTAATTAAAATAGATGTAAATTGATTTAAATA